ACAGCCAAATGTGCCAAGCATGGTGTAATCTCTAGCTCATCCGAATCACAAGGTTTTGTAAATATTGGCCTCTGCACTTTGTTAGTTGAGGAACAACAGGGTTTTATTGTAATGTCAATTTCCTTTGACTGCCATTTACCATTCAAAGAGTTTTCTACACAATTCTCTTCAGTTAAATCTTGATGCAGAAGGCAATTTTTACCCTGAAAAAAAATATTGAAGTCCTCATCTTGTGGCTGAATGCAGCTTACTGATGCTTTTTCATATGCCAGGGCTAAGGAAAACCAGAAGTGAGAATTCCAGGAGTGAAGAGTCGCACATCTCTGAAGGGTTTCTATTTCACCTGATAAACAAACAGACACAAATTGTAGGTGATTTGCCTATATTACACCTATCAAAATTAATATGTAAATGACAGCATTTTCTATGGCATCTTTTTTGTGAGATTGAATTTTCATGGCTTAAGAAACATAACCAAAAGTTTCTATAATGAGGATAACAAGAGTAGACTGGGAACACCCCTTAAGCCAGGGATTAAACAATAAAAACTATTAAACAACTGAGGCAGCTTCCTGTTTTCCTTGACTCAACTCATATCATATAACAACTGACAAAAATCATGTAATGGCTTTTTATATACCTTGAATATTTCCCATTGCTCTATAAATCTGAGAAAGCAAATGCCATATGGACGAATCATTTTGTTGGTCATCCCCCTGTTTGGATCAATGTGAAATGAAAAACACAAACTATTGCACTGAAATGGCTACTAGTTAATAGTTATTTATTTATATATTCTATAATCAACTTTTATAATTTAGTTGGTGCAAAGTCTTAATGATTTTACCAACTTAATAACATACATGAAAAAATTACTCGATTCTGATTGGCTGAGAGCAGTGCAGTTCAAGTGTAACATCAGTCCAAAAAGTGTAACACTAGTGCAAAACGTGTAACACCAGTGCAAATTACACAACGTAATCCTAGATTATGATTGGCTGAAAGAAAATAGGAAATTTTCTAAGTCAATGATATCACGCAAAATGATGGCCAAAATTTCATGCGGAAACTTTGAACAAAGTTTTCTCGAATGAGAAAAAATGGCTTCAAGAAAGATCTTCCGGCGAATTTTTCCTTGTTAATATTATTAATAAGTAATCATATGGTTTCGAGATCAATTTGGAATTAATTTGCACGAGTGAGGTTTTCAAAAGCTGAAATTGCATGAGCTGCTTCAGCAAGTGCAATTTCAGCTTTTTTAAAAACTCACAGGTCATTATTTATTTGTATATTTATTTATTATTATCTATTTATATATTTAATAATCAACTTTTATAATTTAGTTGGTGCCATGTCTTAATGATTTTACCAACTTAATAAAAGTAGATATAAATGTTAATTCATGTTTAGATATCTTATTCTTATCTGATTCTCCACGGGACAAAAATATAGCTAATGAAGAAAGTCCCGACCACACAATAAATGATGCCATCTTGCCCGCTTGTGTAGCCAATCACAACACAGGATTTGGGTCATCTTGCCCACTCACGAAGATAGCCATATAATAAAAACAATTAACTTCGATCAAACATGAATTCTTGACATTATAGGAAATTTACCAATGAACAATTAACTCACCATTACTTCCTTGATAAGAGTTAAAGCATCGTCACATTTTCCTAGCTTCAATAAACACATTGCCATTGACTCTATCAGTTCCCTGTCCACTACCGCATTGTTGGGGGGCAGACATTTGCGAGACTCCTGATAAATGGTAAAAGCCTCTTCATAGTTTTGATTTTGAAATAATAAATCTCCTTGGTACTTCCTGATAGCCTGTCTTTCTACTTGATCATCATTAGGACTGCACTGCATAAACCACTAAGAAAAGAACATATTACTGTATGAGACAAAGCACAATCCACCCCCACAAAGATAATCCCAGCAAGGGTGGGGGTGAGGAGTTGTTGTTACCTCTGATCCCTGGGCACATACCATCTACATGCATTCATGAATTTTTTTTAAAATTGAGACTTTACAGTTACACCACTTTATATGACCTCTCTATCTGAAAAAAAATTAACATTAAGGTCATATAATTTGATAGCGTCACTTTCTCAGTAATAACCATTGAGCATGGAGTCATATAGCTTGATCAAAGAACCTGGCAATTCCAATGATTTTACAAAATAACTTCAAGCAAATTGTTGATTCAATGAATTCTACTCTCTTCTGCAGCTGTAATTTTCTTGGGGGAAAACATAAACATTGGCAAAACGAACGAAAAAGCCTGATGATCCATCATGTGGTACAAAGACCTACAAAGAATTTTGAATTTTGTCGCAAGAGGCAGTACTTAATACGCTTATATTAAACAAACCTCGGGATCGCATTGCTTTGGTTTGTAGGCCTCTTCGACTTTGCTTTCCTTACAATTTGGTTCTCCAAAGATATCGTCGTCAAACTCAAATTCCCACTCCTTCATCATCTCTCCCTTCTTCTAGATTATTCATGACTGTTACATGACGTAAAGCTGTGCAGCGATTGCAGGCTCAAATCGTTCAGGCAAGCGCGGGATCGGGAAAAACTTCGAGGAAAACAAAACAACGAAGTCGTTGCTTGTTTGTGGGGTTCCTTTGTGCTTGAAAACATGAAAAGGACTTTTCCACGGGCCCAGCAGAAATCGATCATTAAGAAATATCAGAGTAAAGCAAGGCTCTCACGAAATGCTGACATTTTGGTAAGATCTCAAACTCAGTATACAAGCGTGCATCACACCTGAGCAAAATCAACTTCGCTTTATTTGCACGAACACTCGAATAAATAGATGTTGATCACGTTTGGGGATATATTTAACACTTATAAAGTTTATTGTAGGAAAAAAACAAGATTGGTAAAAGATCTATATTCAGCATCAACATTTCTTGTTCACAGATCTTTCTAGACTACATACTATTTTTAAAACGATTGGCATCAGAGTCTAATGTCAAGGCACAGGAAAGTAAAGAGAAGACATTACAAGCTAATCATGTTAACGCTGTTTTAAGGGTGAGTAATTTCAATATTTTGATGAAATTGACAATCACTTCATAATCCAGCCAGTGATTGCACCTGCGGTACGAGAGACAGTCAAAACCAAGCTGTCCTACTGAAATGCAATTAACAGCAGGCAAATAAGTTACTTCAACCTCTTCTAATACCTAACTCAAGAATTCTGGGTTTTAATTTGACAAGGAACAATAAGCACTTGATGATTGACTGCCCGAGACCTTTAATGTTCTCCGATGCGAAGCCAAGGGGAACATTGAGGGTCGAGGGGAAACAAAACTCACTGTTTCCTGAGGGGCCAGTCATTAAGTGTTTTGCTATACCTCCCAACTCAAAAATAGAAAAAAAACTCTGAAAAAATGATTTGCTTGATGCCTAGTGTGGCTATGCTCGCAGTAAGAGTTTGATTTGACGAGGAACAGCAAATTTTGTTGTAAATGACACAACTATTTTCCTATACCTGGTAACAACGATCGAAGAGCGAGTTGCCGAACGTAGGCAACCCATTTTTGATGCCAAATTAAAAGCTTGAAGATACAAAATGTTCAGATTTTCCCCTTCGTTAATCTGATATGTTTTTGCAATACCCTTTTCTTCAATAATGAATGCCTTCTCTAGTGAGAAACGTTTTGACGTCAGGCTCTGTTTCAAGGTGTATGACCTGATCACGTGCTAGTCAAAAGTTCAAGTTGTTTTTCCGCTAGGGAGTTAGTGAATTTGACCCATGACACGTGACATGTTCTCTTCAGTCAGAAAAGGTATTTGAGTTGGGAGTTATAACAACATATTTTGTTATTTTATCATCAAACCTGGAAAAAATTATAAATTTCTTTTCATGAATGTTCAATGCCGTCTTCAGTGAGGAAAGTTGCTCTACTGCAATGCCTGTCCTGTTAACATACATGAATGTCAGGACAGTAAAATTTTTCCTGCCACCTGAATCCTGATTGGCCAGTTCAAATTTCAGGTGCACCAGCCATATGTAAGGTACCAAACCATGAATTTTAATCTTTATCATGCCTGTCACTTGTGTAACCACCCAGTTACTGACAAACCATAATAGAAGGTACTGTGCAAGGAATCACCATGTCTTCTCAAAACAACCAAGTTACCGTAATGCTTAACCAGAAGCCAATTCAGGGATTTTGGCTTAATATAAGGTATTTACCTGTGAACAGATTTCCTAATGAGGTAAAGGGTGACAGAAATGTAAAGCAAAGTAACCAGCTGTGCACAAGTTTCCAGTCTTGATCATTTTGTTACAATAAGTCCAGGAGAACTCTGCTCATACCAACATACATGTAGCATGTCTTTGTTTATTTGCAGAATGTGTTAAAAAGTTGCAAAGGATAGAAACAAGGGAAGTTTTGGAGCTATGAAAGAATACTGATTTCACAAACAGTATGGATACTGAGGACAACACTTTTTTGGGAATTATTCCTTAAAGCATTAGACCTATTCATTAAAACAAATAGACCTATTTTTATTTGTTTTATCACTAAAGATGTAATGTAAATTAACTTTGGACCATGTGTTCAGTAACATTTAAGTAATAGAGCACTTCTTCCATGTTTACCTAGCCCCATCTAATCACAAGGAGGATTGGGAGCATTCAAGACAGTTGTGCAAACCCAAGACATAGTCGAGGGTTTGTATCATTTTCGAGAGTTCTCCCAGGCCCCGAGTGTTTGGATGAGGTTATGTAAACATGAAGAAAGTGCTCTATTACTTTTATAAAATAATTCTCAAAAATACGAATCTAAAACATCACAACTGTGTTTACATACTCTCATCTAAACACAACTATCAACCAATGAGAGCACCTGTAGTAGCTCAGTTATTTTATAAACTGTAATAGTTATAATTTCTTGCTTGCTTGCTCATGTTATTCTACAGGGGGGTCTCATGCCAAATTAAAGTTTAAGTAATTGGTCTTATATGGTGTTTTCTGACATCATGGTCATATTGGATATTAAAAATTTGTACAGCTAATTTGCCATCTGGAAGTGAGAAGAGTGGAAACCATGTGTTCCTTTGTTATATATTGTAGTTCTAACTGTTTGATCAGAAATTATATAAAATTTCCACATTTTCTTTGTCATTCAGATTTGCTGACAGCATTTTTTTTTTGTTAATTTTATAATTTAAAAAGGGCTACCAGACTAACACAGGCTCTAATTTAATGTGAATATCATCTGTACTGCTACATCCCATGCAAACTTCAACTTCTCTTCTCATTGTTTGCAGGCATCATTTTCAACAGTGTTGAAACGCAACGTATTGCAACATTTACAGTGTGTTGCATTTGTTTTTCCTTTGTAACCCCAGCATACGACAATCTTGCATTGAAATGCTGCTTGGCTTTAGCCTTCAAGCTATTCTGTTACATGAATGTTTGGAGCTATCTGTCTTTAGAACCTCTTGTAAACCATTATAATGATTTGAAGATCGTTAGCTATGGGTCAGCCATCCGTACATTTTATACTCAGGATTGCCAACAAGTTGGTTTGTAGAAGTTTGTGGGGACCAGGGTAAAGACGTATAGCTAACATTATTAATTATTCCACAGAGCAATATTTTTTAAGAAGTATTTAATTAAAGTTAAGAGTTTTGCAATTTGTAGATTTTGAGTATTTCAGAACGGATGCAAATCAGTCTAGGGTCACTTGAGTATGAAATTCAGCAATCCAGCTTTCCAAGTTAGTTGGTGATTTTCACAGGTAGATCAATGCCGAAAATTAAACCAAAATTCCCACCAGTCTTCATCTGCTTGTTTAATCCTACCCGGAGATTGGAACTTTGTCATTTCAAACTTTGTGACTAGCCTGTTCCTGTCCTGTCCTGTTTTTTGTTGTTGTTGTTGTTGTTGTTGTTTGTTTTTGCATTGTACCCCTAATACACAAACACCCGAAACAGGCTATTTCAGACCACAAACAGATAGTCTTTGACACAGCAGAGCCCTGACCCACCAGGAAATGGGGTGGAATCTCTTCTGTCATTCCAAGAACGGATGCAAATTCCAGAGTGAATGAGGCACTAGTGTCCTGACTTAGTGCCGAAAAGTCTAAATTGTGAATAAAATGAGGGTCGCCGACTACTGATGGGAAAACAATCAAACATTGGACACAAGAAGGCTTACTAGAAGACAAACAATAGTTTATAAAAATTCAACCTTGGGTGCATGTACGGGAAAAAAAACCTTCGGACTTGAAGTGAAGCGGAACAAACTTGAAACATATTGCATCTCCAACACAATAGAATGGAACAGGTAAAGGCTTGTGAAAACTTCTATCAGAGTGGATGCAAATTCCAGAGTGAAAGGGGCACTTATGTCTTCGTGCCTGCACTTAAAAAGTGTGAATGAAACAAGTGTCTCTTACTAATGGAAAGTGATCAAACAAGGTAAAACAAGAAGAAGTTTACTGAGAAACTTCTAGACTTTAAGGAAAATCCTTCGTCTTGTTTATTCACTTCGCGACCTGAACGTCACAGCTCACCTATGATACCCTGAAACTCATGAGGTCGACTTGTGGCAAGTCTAAGAAACTTATTTTCATGGGCTCGCTTTCTTTTTTAGTTCATAAAAACTCCAAAAATCTACGTCGTTCTGCATGTAGAAGGTAGAGTTGGAATCCGCTAATTCGAACTCGTTTATCTCGAAGTCAAAACCATTTCCTTCAAATTTGCCCTTCAGTCATTTACTATCTGCTCTTTTAGAACCCCTGCTATTTCGAACTACCGTAAACTGCCGCTTATAAGCCGCCCCGCCCCCCTCGCTTATAATCCCCGGTCATGGGACCATCTACTTGTAAACCAAAAAATACCTCCGGTTATAAGGCCCTCCAGATATAAGCGCCCCTCTAGCTTTGTTTTGAATTCGTTTTTTTATTATGATGTTTTAAAGCTTAATTACTTGCAATTAAATGAAAAATCTGTTTCTGTTAACATGTGCAGCTGTAGCTCGTTTCGAAACGGTTTTTGTATTCTGGCTATAAGCCCCCTCGGATTTAAGCCCCTCCGTTTATAAGTCCATCTAAAAATCTTTGCCCAGTTGTATAAGCCCAGGGCTTATAAGCGGCAGTTTACGGTATTTTTTGTTTTACCTGAGAGATCGAGTTAGTGGAGTTTAACTGTACACAAAACAGATTATGTCTGAGATGTACAATACGGCTATGCCCCTTTTTCAATATCATATATATCGGCGAGACGCAAGAAAAAGATCAACTGAAATAAACGTACCAATCAAACGATGTACTGAGTAGAACAAAGCTTTGCACGTGCGTTTTACACTCTGGTTCATTTCCTAGGTCTCGAGACAAACAGCAACATGAAATTATCTCATTCGGCGAATTTTGGAGACTGAAAACCACGAAAGTGATTTTTTTTTTCAGTTATCGCTGCAATTAACCACTGCTTGTTACATGTTTAGCTGAAGGATGTCCTAGATAATTGCAAGATTGTAAAAGATAATTTCATCACATTCATTTAAGTTTCGATTTATGTTGACGTCAACATCACTTCATCCTTTATGCACAAAGCGAGAATGTGTCTCTCCCCAAAGAGCTTTATTTGTCAAGGGGCGAGTTTTACGCGTCTCGTATTTACCTGGATACACTTGGATTAGACATAATATTCTATTTCCAAGGAATATTTAGAGCCATTTAGTCTGAGCTACGCAAGAAAAAACCTGACACGGTAAGTGATATATTGCAGAACAACAAACAGATCGCATCTCTAACACAATTAAAGTGATCAAAAACAACCAATGTAAAGACTTCTATTATTTTGTCAGAGCGGATGCAAATTCCAGAATGAATGGCACACCTAGTGCCTGCACGTCTAATTCGAGTCTCACTCATAAATGAAATGAGTGCAAATTACTGAGTTATCAAACAAGGAAAAAAACAACTTGCTTCAGAACTTTGCATTTTCAACATGCTTGCCTTCTTTTTTAATCCATAAAGAATACTCTTGCACATTCAGCCTATGGTCCACCATCAGTAAAGACCCGAGACTGACGGCGAAAATAAATAACGACAATAACCATTTTAAAACATAAACGGGTCGCACCTTTAACAACAGAATGATCAGTAACGAAGCGCGCGAAGTCTAAAAATAGAATGCAAATTATTGGAACCCCGCGAGAGTCAGACAACATAAGCGTGTTCTGAGAGAAATAGGGGGAAAATGAACGCCAAATTTTCGTTTTAAAAATTGTTTTAGGAACACTTGCTTACGCGCTCGAAAAAGCGTCAAATCTTCCACCATTCCGTTTTGTTTGTCTGAGTTTGTCTGAGTTACGACGTCACTCGCGCGCTTCGCTATAAGGAAAGACTGTGAAAATCTTCCATTATTTTCAGAGCGAATGCAAATTCCAGAATGACAGCGGCACATTATTATATCTTAGCGCCTGCAGGTACAAATTAAGAATGAAATGAGTGTCAGTTCAACATATACTATATCATAGCAAACTGATTGAAGAAGAAATTAACAACTTAATAAAAGACTTCAAACTGAATAGACAATTAACAAGAACGCTGAACTGAAGTTGAACTGAAGTTGAACTGACAATAACAGTATTAAAACATAACCTTCTCCCCGTAAATTAAGCACTGATCTTCTAAATCTAAGTTCATACAAGAGTGTTTTTCGGGTTGGACCTAGAATTTTGATTACAGTAGCGTGGAGTTTCGTATTGTTAGATAGCATGAGTTCAAAATCTTGAGAACAAAAGACAAAAAGAACAAATAACGACATGATTGATCATCGCAGTAATACACACAACTTAATTAAGAGTTGCAAAATTAAAGTCTGAAAAAAATTCAGGCTTGAACGGGATTCGAACCCCTGACCTCTGCGATACCGGTGCAATGCTCTCAAGCCAAGTGGGAGCTGGTCACGTTGAG